TCATCTGGAGCTCATGATATCTCTTCTTCACCCCATTTTGATAAGGCTCCTTAGGCTATGATATTAGGCTCAGCAAGGCCAAAGTGGACACAACTAATGTTAAAAGAATATGCTCTCCTTAGAGGGAAGGATGGGCTCCACCTGTGGGACAGTGGTTTTACCCTGTAAAGATTTGTTTCTTGTACTTGTTTGATAAACGCTGATTGGCTAGTCATCAGGCAGGAAGTATAGGTGGGGCAACAAGAATTATGGGAAGAGGAAAGTTTCAGTCTGCAGTCGTGACCCAGCTGCAGTGGAAGCAAGGTATGACTGCCTCGACAAAGAAGGTACCAAGCCACATGGCTAACACAGACAAGAATTATGGGCTAATGTAAGTTATAAGAATTAGTTAATAAGAAGCCTGAGCTAATGGACCAATCAGTTTATAACCAGAAAGAGAGAGAGAGAGAGAGGCCTTCACATAATTGCTGTCTCTGAACAACCATGGATAAGTTAATCAGCTACTCCAATCCTCAGCACCTTATATACAAATTAAATGCATATTCTATCGTTTCCAGAAAGATAACCTTAAATGCAAGGTACAGGCTTAATAAAGAGTAACCATGATTTTAACGTGAGGCCTGGCATTGCTAGAACTTCCCAGCATCTGTCAAAGAAATGCACAGCTGTTTCATTCTTCTTTTGACCCAGTGTCGGCCTCCTCCATTGCCGAAGATACCATTCTATCCCAGCTTGTCATTCCAGCGGCCCACCTGATAGACAGTGGTAATTACACTTGTATGGCCTCCAACTCCATTGGCAGAAGTTCCCTTGTCATCTCAGTCCACATCCAGCTGGTCCAGGCCACACCTGCCTTGCATTCTCCTTCCATCTCCTCAGAGAGCAGTGTCTATGTTGACCTACGGGTAGTCAAGCAGACAGCGCAAGCCATCTTGCTGGAGTGGCTCACAGTGCCCAGCCTCCCAGAGGAGCAGTGGTTCACTCTCTACATTGCATCTGATGAAGCTTCCAGGAAGGCAGTGGTCCACATAGGCCCTGGGATCAACACCTACTCTGTGGATGACCTTCTCCCTGCTACCGAATATAAAGCATGCCTCAGCCTGAGGAGTCAGCCTCCAGGCCAGGGCCAGTGTGTGGTCTTTGTGACGGGCAAAGACAGTGGTGGGCTGGAGGGTCGTGAGCGCCTCTTGCACGTCACTGTGGTCTTGTGCGTTGTGCTCCTGGCAGTGCCTGTGGGTGTTTATGTGTGGGCAGCCCAGGGGCCATACAACTGCTGTGAGTGGTGTTTAGGCTGCTACTCTCTGCACAAGAAAGCCTTCAGGGGTCAGCAAACCATACCGCAGTGCAAGGATAGCTCTTTCAAAGATTTTACAGCTGTCTGTGAGGATGGCGAGGGTCACAAAGTCATGGAGGGGAATGAGGAGCTAGAAAAGGGGGGTAACACCTAACAACCCACCATGGAATAAGCTCCACATAGCAAGCTTTCTGTTCAGACTATGTTTGGTCCAACAGTCTGCAAATAATGGCCCTCAGACTTATATTATTAATTATGAAAGCTTGGCCTTAGCTTAGACTTGTTTTTAACTAGGTCTTATAACTTAAATTAGCCCATTTTTGCTCATCTGTGTTCTGTCACATCCTGTTTTTTCCATGTCCCCTCTCCATGTCTGACTGGTGACTCTGCCTTTCTTCTCCCTCATAGAGGCTGTTCTGTCTCCAGAAGTCCCACCAATTTCTTCCTGTCTAGCTATTGATCATGCGGGCTTTTTATTACACCAATTACAGCAACACACCTTCACACAGTGTACAAATATCCCACAACATCTCCAGTCCCTAAAACAAACCTTCTATGACAGAACAGCTTGACTCCACCCATTTGTTGAACAAGTGTTTGTTGGGCATTCACTGTATTAAAATCAAGGAACTTGATGGACAGAGTTCAAACATGAGAAAAGGAACACAGTATTTATCTCTGTAGAGCTAAATCCAATAGAGTTCTGCTTCATTAAACTGATCATTTAATTATGCTTGACCGTGACTAGAAATTAATAAATGCTATTCTTTGTGTGCACACAGCCCTACAGCAATTGCACAGGGCGTCTCATATGCATTATTCTAAAAAGGATGGCAGAATACTCTTTACTTTAGCTAAAGAAATTTGACCTCGAAAAGGTCAATGATTTGTCCATCACCTACCTAGCAGATGACAGGGCACTGGTCTACAGAGAATGAATCCCATTGTTCTACAAATGAGTCAGAGACTGAGAACCAAAGGCAGTTCAAATAACATTTTAAAAATTAATGGCAATACTGATATTGAAATTAACCCTCCATAATTTCTTTAGGTTCTTCTTTTTTTTTCTAAGAAGAAATAAACCTTTTAAATGGAAATTCTGTATTTGTTGGATAGTTTTATGTCATACTGACACGAGCTAAAGTCATCTGAGTGAAGGGAACCTCAATTAAGAAAATGTCTTTATACGATACAATCCTGGAGGGCATTTTCTTAGTTAGTAATTTATGGGGGAGGGCCTAGCCTATTGTGGGTGGTGCCATCCCTGAAATGGTGGTCCTGGGTTCTATAAGAATGCAGGCTGAATGAGCCACGTGAAGCAAGCAAGCAAGCAGCACCCTCCTTGGTCTTTGCATTAGCTCCTACCTCTGGGTTCCTTCCTGTTTGAGTTCCTGCCCTGACTTCCTTTGTTGATGAACAGTGATGTGGAAGCATCAGCCAAATAAACCCTTTCCTCCTCAACTTGCTTTTTATGGTGTTTTCATCATAGCAACGGAAACTCTAAGACACTATTATACGAAAGGTAGAAAAAAGTCACATTGTCACCTCATGCTGGAAACTGAGTCTTTTAGAGCAGCCGACCCCTCCACTCCTTAGTTATTTCTGATCCTCCTAAAGGGACCTCCGTGGGTCCATATACCAGGCATAGCTGTGGTCCTCATTTGGGATCTTCTCACTTATCTCAGTCCGTTTCCCTATGATGGGAGTCTTGATAACCATTAGAGAAGAGGAATTGCTTGCCAACTGATGCCAACACCCATGGAAGGTTTTCAAAGTCTAGATTCTCTCAAAGCTTCCATTGTGACAAACATGGAGTCTATAGTCTCAACTACTCAGAAAGCTGAGACAAGAGGATTGATTATTAGAGCCCATGAATTCAAGACTACCTGATCAGCACAGTGAAATTCTCTCATCAACAGCAAAGCGCCTTTGTTCACACAGACGGAACTCTTGAAGGTCTTGAGAAACAAGGACCGTTTTCTCATCCCCACCTTTTTCCACACTTGCCAACTTGGCTCTGAGGAAGAGCTGTTGCAAGACAAAATCTCTCATCCTCTCTTAGTGATATATCTTATCAGTTCTTGGTTGGAGTTTGGATGCCAAACTGACAAGATGCCGAAACATCTTGCCAGCTCTTGCTTGGAGTGCGAATGTCAAAAAGCTCCAAGTTACAGGTGGATTACAGAGTGTCTACCTGCTTTCTTCCAGTTCTTTTCATCTGTCCTCCTCCGTTTTCTGTGGGTCATCCGTGTGTAAGGCTCTGTACAAAGGTCCTTTCCTCCAGGACATGCGCTCTCGTATGTGGGTCACAGCAAGCCGTCCTCAAACGCTCCTTATACATCTAAGAATAGCAACTGAGCTTTATCCGTAGCTACAAAGTAGACACTAGGTGTTTGCATATATTTGCTCTTGCTGCCCTCACAGCAACAAGACTTTGCACCCCAGAAGAAAAGTGGGACCCAGACAGCCTTGGTCTTTTAAACAAATTCACACATAATTTGACACCCGAAGACGGTCAAACTGCAAAAACACCCTATTATTTCATAAAATTAGAAAAGTCTGAATTTAGGGGGCTGGGAAGATGGCTCAGTCAGCAAAGGGCTTGCTATGTACTTTATGAAGACCTGAGTTTGAGCCCCAGAATCACATTTTTAAAAATTGGGCAGGCCTTAAGGAGCGTGCTTGTAATGACAGATAAGCACAGATCACTAGAGTTCGCTGACCAGCTAGTTCAGCAGAATAGGCAAGCTTCAGGTAAAAGTGAGAGACCCTGTGTCAATAAATAATGTGGGGAATATTTGAAAGAGACATCTGAGAGAGACCTCTGACCTCCTCATGTGCATGGTACCTCCCCACCCAGTGTATCTGCATACACACCTAGATGCATGAGTCCGTGCCCACAGTGGTGGAAAAATGACTTCAGATCACTTAGAATCACCCCTATTGCTTGGGCATGAGGTTAATGTTCCATTTGTAGGCTTTGCAAAGACAATGGCTTTTCCAGTTGCTTTCCCTGTTTCCTTCCTACTTACCAACTTGGAAACCTCTCGTCAGTCCAGACTGTAGGTCAGGGCCTATCTCGGTGTGCTACAGTGGGCTGCCCTCCAGCTTGCCCTTTTCTCATGCTGTGGGACTTGCAGGCCTCGCCCCACTGACAGTGTCCCCTTCAGTGTTAATCACATTTGCTGGTCCTGTTTAGCTCTATCCTCTTCTCTCCCAGTAGTCTCCTGTTGGCTCCTAGGCCATTTCCCCTTCTGTAATTATGTCCAAGACTGTCTTTCCTTGGGTCAAGTTCCCAAGTCTGTCCACAAACCCACCCTAAGGACCACAGTGTTGAACAGAACTTCCAATCCAGACCCCTTCACTACCTCATTCCCAGAGATGAACTGCATTCCTGGCGTCATACCCACATCAGGCCTTGCCAATCCTGCTCCCACTGGACTGCTTTCAGGATCATTAGCCTGTGCTTCTGACCTATTTCTTCCTCCAAGCAATGCTGATTGGACCCTTCTAGGTTGGGCAATGCAGAATTCACATCCAGAGCAAGACAAGGTCTTGTAATTAAGATGTAGGCAGACAATTTAGACAAAATGTCGCAAATGTCTCTCAGTGTGAGAAAGGAGGTCACGAATGACATCATCACTGAATGAGTCAGGGATATTGGCCCCCAAATGTCAGTAAGCATCAATACAAGAGGACCAGGAGGTCAGTTTATCCTTTGAATGATAGGTTTTATTTAGCATTTACAAAAGAGTTTAACTGCATGCATATCATAGGATGTTGAAATCCCTGTGATGCAACATGGTCCAGGCCAACACTTTCCTGAACCATGGGTTAGACAGTGCCTTTCAGCAAGACTCGGGTTAGACAGTGCCTTCCAAATGAGACTCGGGCTAGATAGTGCCTTCTGGGTGGGACTCTTGGTGTCCAGATGGACGGCCAGTGTTCATCCCTCAATACTGTGTGAGCTAGTGACTGCAGACCTCTAGATGAGGACTCTGCTTACTAACACATCTGTGTAACACCTCAAAACATGGACTGGGGTATCAAGAGAAGCACATGTTCATACAATCTGATCACATCAGAAAGCACGGAATCCTGGAGGGCTTTGAAAAACATACGTACGTATCTAGATTTCCTTTAAAAGATTCCTCAAAGGAAAACAGAACTTTTGTGTATTAACCATGGCAGAGTGCAAGATTTCTCTCCTGCAAGATTATCACATGCTAACAAGGTGTGTGTCCCCGCTAGAGAAAAATGGTGTGGACGTGGAGCTCGTGAACTAGATTCCTGCTACGGATCCGCTGTGTGCATGGAGCCAGTCACTCTGGGAGACTTGTTTCTCAGAGCTGTGCTGAATATTACTGCCTGACTGGTTCTTTGTGAGTGACATGGGTGGAAGAAAACTTGTGTGAGTCCAGGGAAGGTCATTATCAGGCTACGACTGTCTAGGGCAGTGGCTGTCCCCGATTACAGCATCGTCCCTCCTGGGGACACTAGGTGGCGTCACTGAAGGTGCTAATACTTACTGGATGAAGTGTGGCCAGAGAGCTGGCCTAGGACGAATACTTTGCAATCCTGCTGCTCTGCACTTGGTTAAAGCTTTCAGGTCACTGTTTGCTTAGGGTTTGCTTGCTTCATTTTTCAGACAAGGAAGAAGACAGCTAGAGTTTAAACAATATCTCTAAGGTCATGTCACTTGAGAAGAGCTGAATCAAAACTGGGCTCAGGCCTGATATCCACCCCTGTCTCTTCAAGCTAGGCTGGAGACTTCTGCGCCCACTCTTGGGAAAGATCACCTTACGCGATCACCTACAAGTCTGGAGCCAGTCTTTTCTAGATGCCAGTTCTATTGTCCACTGGCTTTGGGCATAGAATCTTATAGTTAACATGGGTTTTCAGAGCTTTGGGGCCCTTTCCTATAGCTCACAAAGCTCACTGATTTTCAGCTTTAGCTGAGAACAAACCTTCATCAACCTGCTATTAGCTGAAGCTTCAGGATCTAGATTCTTGCCAGTTTTGCCACCCGTGGTCTGGGCCCTACTTCACAACTAAGGATGGCAAGGTCCCCGTAGGTCTTCAATCTCTGTGGGGTCTAGGCTTGGTGAGTAGAAACACACAGACTTGATTCCTTGTGGATTTCTATTCTCTGAAGAATAGGGAGCACTGTAACTGTGCCAAGAACTTGGGTAGTGGGCCTGTATTTGCCAACTGCAATCCGGCTGAGGAATCTTTTGCCCAAAGCCCTTTGCAGAGCCCCGTATACAGGGCAGCAACATTGTATAAAAGAGAGGTGACCTTGAGAGTCAGTACAGGAGGACGGGAAGAAAACAATCAGGGGACATTCTAGAAGTAAGCCTTGTTGTCAAGACTCTTCTTCTCAAACTTTTGCTTGAGCTCAGAGACCAGAGAGGACTGAACGGGGCCTCCTAAGTGCTTGTGGTTGGGTAACTGCCGGGGTGGTTGTGGGGCAAGGGATCCAGAGACAGTAGGCACTGCCCGTTGGGCCACTGTACTGGATACCATTCTGGGGGGTGGCGGGAGAGCTGGAGCTCTGGGGGGCACTGTGGTTTCTGCCCTGCTGGAATCGCAGTTCTCACTGGGAGGCTCCTCTTTGAGTATGAATTTGGTAGCAGCCTTGGCCCTCCTGAATTTGAGCCACTCTATGCGAACGGCGTGGGGTGCAGGGCTGGGCCTTCTACGGAGCACACGCCTCACAGGCAGGACCTTGTTGGACTTCTTGTTACGCCAGAAGGTGGCGGTAGAGATGAGGACGGTTATGGCCACAACAATAGTCATGACGCCGGCCAACACACCTACAGCCTTCATGGGGTTGTCCTTGGTCTGTATGAGGAAGGCAGCCATGGAACCTCGGGAGAGCGTCTGAAAGAGAAAGTCGTGCCCTAGGTTTAACTACTTACTCCTCGTCCCTGGAGGACAGCAGCTATGTGAGCTTCTCTGAGCCTGACAGGTTTCAACATCCCGCCCCCAAGGCATCCCTCAGGCAAAATCAAGTGAGAGAGACCATAGTAGCCTCCTGCAGACTACAACCTCCTGCTTCCCTGGAGTCTTCCCTTGGACTAACAAAATAGTGCTTGTCTCTGGTCACAGGGAGAACCATAAACCAAAATGAACCAGGACCCTTGTATTTGATGGATTCCTGCCAGACACTGAACTTTACATAATGCTTTTGCTTCTACCTTCTAACACAGAAAAAATAATGGAGGCTTAAATAGCCTAGAGTTACATCACTAATTAATACTGAAGCTAGAATTCCAATTTGATTTCCAAGCCTCTGGGTTTGATTTCACGGAAAGTCCTTTGCATCTTCGGCACAAGTTGCTCTCGGGCCCCCTTCCCCCTCCACCACCACGGCATTGTGCTCACCTCTGTGTCTGTAATGTCGATCTTGAGTAAGGCTGTTGTGCTGAAAGATGGGGAGCCTCGGTCCTTGGCCTGCACCTGTAGGGACCACGAGTAGTCCCCACTGGGTGTGATGTTGTGGAGAGCCTCCAAGGAGCGGATGGAATTCTTGAGCCAGATCTCTCCCGTGTGAGCATCAATGTCAAACACATTGGCTGGCTCTGCATGGGTGATGGAGTAGTCGACCAAGTTGTTTGGCTCCTCTGCATCCTGGTCCGTAGCCTGAGCAGAGAGGGCGAGAGGATCACTTGGGGAAGATATCCATTGGCTAAAACAGTATATAAGGATGGGGGGGGGGCTTTCTGAGTTGATGGGAAAGAATTTTAATCCTAATTGGACTAGAACAGAGTTGGGGAAGAAGAATTTATGCACTACTCTGAGCCATAGTCTATGTAGGTGTTATTAACTCCATTCTCAGAATACATCCGTGAAGTACTCGTTGGTGATGCCTTACTATACATGCAAAGAAGAAAGCTTGGATGTCAAGTGGCTGGTCCACGATGGGAGGGGGTGTCTGGTATTCAGAGCGTGTCTGTTGGGATTCAGAATGCATGTCTTTTCTGCATTATGAAGACAGTGTACTGTGGGAAAAGCTTGCTTTGAAGGCACGCAGGTCAGTGACGTAAATTCAGACAAGCACAGTACTCAAGCCCTCTGAGGTTCAGGTGTTCTATTGGTTATGTTTTCCTTCCCAGGTACCTTTTCTAGTAGGGGTGGAAAGAAAGCTATGTATAGTGTCATGTAGCCCAGTGCCCTTAGCAGGACACATTTAATCTAACTTCAACGCTTATGGCCCAGTCTGGGTGCTCAGCTGCCTCTGAAACCCACCTCAATTTTCACTGGGGTTCCCAGCACCATCGTCTTCTCCTGGATGCTCTGCACAAACTGGGGGTAGTGGTCGTTGACGTCCAGCAGAGTGACAAACACCTCTGCCAGGCTGTACCTCCCATCCATGTCTTCGGCCTTCACGTAAAAGTTGTACCGCGACGTGCCCTCGGCATCCAGGCTGGCCCAGGGCTGAGTGTAGATAAGCCCCGTTGATGGATGAATCAAGAATCTACCAGGCACAGAAAACAGAAGCACAGGTGCTCATATACATGTGTACATCCTAAAGTCCTCAGTGAGACATTGGGCAGCTTCCCCAAGCATCCCACCAGCTCCTGCCCCTTACGATCTGACTCTAGGACTCAGATCCAGCCGTTGACACGCAGCCCAACTGCCGCTGCCCTACTTACCACAGCCTGTCACCCTCCCCTCACCCTATCCTGTCCCTGCTCACCTGCCTTCTGAGGTCACTACCTATACTCCAGGCTCTGACCGCAGCCTTCTTTTCCAGTCACCTCGCTAGTGGTGTCTTATCTCTACCTCAGGCTCTCCATGGCTTCCTTCCATTCCTTGCCTCTCTCTACCCTGTACCCTGGGATGCTCACATCCCTAACCTGGCTTTTAAGCTTTTACTGGTCCCTCCTGCTTAAGCAGAGGTTTGCTTCACCCAGAGCCTTGCAAACTGCTTTGTCTGGTGTTCTGGATCTACTTACAGGTCTGACCCGGTCCCATAGATGGAGTACTGAACTTTGCCCCATGGTCCTGTATCTGGATCCACAGCCTGGAAAAAAGAAAACTCCGAATGGCACCTACACTATGGTGAGACAGGCAGTAAGTAGTTTCTGTAGCTGAAGGCAACTTGCAATGGAAAGCTGGCAGAGCCTGGGGTGTGTCCAGCAGGGGAGGAAGTAGCGTAGAGGTTGTCCCATGCCCTGGTTTTCTTCAGGGAGGTATCAAATGTGAACAAACCAAAAAGGTTTATGTCTGGGAGATACTTTTTTCTTTCATAAACAAGGGGAATATGGGAACGGGCTGCAGGCCCTGCGCTTGGGATTTGCACATGTATCGCCATCATCATTAGCAGGAAGAAGCCTGGAGCTTGCTTCTACAACACATGGCTAAGGTAAGGAGATACTCCTTTATGAACAGACTGTAAGAGTCTGTGCCTTCTGCCATATCACAAGACCCTTTCCTCATATGGTACAGGCTACATAACCGCGAGGGAAGACACAGATTATCATTAGGTGAAGAATCAGAGACGTACAGAGGCGAGGACCTTGTTCAAGGTCACAGCTAACAGTTGGGCAGGCGGTGGTGGTGCACATCTTTAATCCCAGCACTCAGGAGGCAGAGGCAGGTGGATGTCTCTTAGTTCGAGACCAGCCTAGACTACAGGGCTAGTTTCAGGACAGACAATGCTCCACAAAGAAACTCTGTCTTGAAAAACGAAACAAACAAACAGATCACAGATAATGGCTGGTGGTCTTAGGAACCAGGCCCCAACCTACTGTGACAGCCACCACGTTGGAGCCCCCTGGGGCGTTCTCTGGGATCCTGGCAATGTAGTAGTGAGAGGTGAACTTGGGGACATTATCATTGGTGTCCAGAAGCTGGATCACAATGTCTGCGGTGGAACTGAACTTCTCTGGGGTATTCACTTCAATGGCCAGGAGCTGGAGAAAGATCGAGAAACACACTTGTCAGGGAGGGCAGTCATCCCACTGAGGGCCCACTACCATCCATCCCGTCAGAACTGGCCATGCTTTCATCTCTCCAGCTTTCCTGCTGTTGTGTTGTGTTTTTAGAGTCAGGGTCTTACTACAAACTCCAGCGGTAACTGCCAGTCTTTCTTCCTCAGCCTCCCGAGTGCTAAGAACATGGGTGTGGACGACCACACCCAGTGTGTACCCCATTCTTACTCTGGCTCCTGGTGGGCTGTCCCGGCTACCATCTTCACAGTCCCTCATCATTCCTCACTTGTGAGTCTGCAGTGTTGGTGATCCTATCACTCCCATTGTGCCCAGGCCTGGAATTGCTATTACTGTTGTCTTCTTCTATGGCTCTACATAGTCTCTTCTAAGTCAAGTTCCCAGCTGTTCTTATAAGCTGATTTCTCCAGATGCAAGCCAGTATAATTTTGTCAAGTTTTCTCATCAAAAGAAATTCTAGGTCAAAGTTAATTTGATTTGACTAGCCAGAGCGGCACGTGTCTATAACCCCAGAACTCAGGAGACGGAAGCAGCAGGATTGTGAGTTTGAGATCAGCCGGTGCAGCGCAGGGAGCTCCAGGTCAGCTTGGGCGGTGGCAAAGCTTTGTCTTAAACCAAAACAAAACAAGCACAGCAGCAACAACAGCAACAAGACACAGAGGGAAGATTTGCATTTCTAAAGGCAGGATCACATTTCCAGCCTTGCCTTCCTTAGAAACTACTGGGGAAACTTGTGTTTTTCACTGAAGTTGCATGTCTCTCCTTAGGGTAATTCCTAAGAATGTTGTATTAATTAGTTCTGCAAGAGTATCTTTTATTCCACTATATTCATATCCTCTCTTCCTCCTCTCACTCCCTAAGAAAACTGTTAGGTGTGGAAAAATAACTTTGTGTGGTGGTTTTTGCTTTATTTACAAAAATCTTTCAATTATTTTTCTTAGTTTTTTTTTTCTAAGAAAACAATAATACTCATTTTTGGCCCCTTCTTTCTAGAATTGCAGCTCTTATTTCCTCTTTATCCGGAATTATGTCATTCCAAACATTGAATTAAATTATCTTGGTGACAGCAGGCATTTGTGTTTTATTCCTAAAATCAGACAAAGCCTTTACTATCTCACTTTTTATCATGAGGCTGGCTACACACTGTGAGCATATAGAATTATAAATAATGATAAGTTAAATATTCTTAATGAAGTATCTTTTCATTAATATATTACTCACATATTAATATATGACAAGTGTCATATATATATTCATAGTGTTACATGATTATAAATTATAAATGACATCAAAAAAATGTATTTCCCCACTGCTGTTAGGGTTGTTACTGGAACAGATGACAAATATCAGAGGCACATGAGAATCACACAGTTTCTCTCTCTCCATCTATTAACACAGCCAAGTATACTGGTAGTGTGCCCCTGACTCCCCAGCCTTCACATAATAGTGGTGGTTCAGAAGCTGGCAGCTCAGTAAGGATGAGGCTATGAGAACTTTGTAGAAGCTGTGGCGGGGGAGGGTCAGGTACCATCCCCACCCCCAACCTACCTCCTATTGTCCACATGCCCACAGCAGGATAGGCAGAACCTCTGGGGAAAAATAGTAGAGCCACCCAGGCCTGGGAGTGACAATGGCCCTCCCACACTGAATCCGGAAGTGGTGTGAGCTTGCCTACTTCCAGCCTTATCTTTCCATCCCTGCCCCCATAATTTATGCCCTGGCAATATGGGCAGCCCATATATAGGGGTTCCTGGTTGGATTTGTCCATATCAGGCTTCATGGTCTAAGTTGATGAGGACAACTGACCAGGTCTCTTCCTCAAGAGAGCACCAGATCTCATTACAGATGGTTGTGACCTACCATGTGGTTGCTGGGAATTGAACTCAGGAGGACCTTTAGAAGAGCAGGCAGTGCTCTTAACTGCTGAGCCATCTCTCCAGTCCTAGAGCAGTGCAATACCGTCGCCTACCTTGAAGGTTAACAACTTCGACTTTTCAAAGTCAATGGCGGCTGAGTTCTCTACGATGATGGTGACTTGGGCTTCATTCAAGACTGTCTGTGGCACCACTCGGAAGATCCCTCCAGGTCCCACCAGCCGTAGGTTAAATTTGGCATTAGCTCCCTGGGCAACAGAATTTAGAGAGAGGAAATAGAAGATAAATAAGAACAGAAATGCATTATATATGTGTGCTAGGTGGGGAGCCCTTACATCCCTTTAGCCCTAAGCAGTGAGTACTCTTTCTCTACAAAGAGGGGTTAAGAATCAGATTTAGTTGGGACTGGAGAGATGGATCAGTCATTAAGAGCACTGGCTGCTCTTTCAGAGGTCCTGAGTTCAATTCCCAGCCACCACATGGTGTCTCACAACCATCTGCCTGGTACTGTGCTGAGCACTGGAGGAGACAAGGACATTTAGTGATGTGCAATTGGAAGGTCAGATGCAGAGGACCTCTTCTTCGCCTGCCTTTTACTTTGTAGCTGATTATTAATGTCTAAGCAAATAGCATGGGATTGCCTACCATCCCTCGGCTACCTTTTAGCCGTACCATCTTGTGCTATTCATTTTGTGACTTCTCTGGACCCTCTCTCTGAAACTGAGCACCGGCAGAGACTCAGTCAGTTTTAGGGCTGTGGCCACGCACCTGGTCAGAGTCGTTGACAGTGATCTTGAGTCCACGGAGGATCTCCCCCTGAGGTGGGTGCTCATACATGGACAGTTCAAACTTGTTCTGGGGCCCACTTTCTCCATAGAAAGTTGGGGGGTGGTTGTTGAGGTCCACAATCCTGATGGTGACTGGGACCATGGCCTGAGCACCTGGGCTTCCTGGAGAGTTGACCTCTGTCACCTAGGATGGCAACAGATGGCTATGGCTGTGTGGCAGGCACACTGCTGCTGGCCCTAAGAGTTTTTCCTCCTGATGGTCATATTCTTGTAATTCCTCTCTTTAAGTGTGACCTGACCTGACAACTTGCTTTTGACTGGCGGCATGGTTAGGTTATTGGATTATAATTCACTTTTCCTGCAGAGCTTCTCTTTCCCAAGGCTTTCATGAAGCAGGCAGCAATGCTGGAGAGGCTATGGGATAGGGAGTTAACCGTAGGTAACCCATAGGCAACAACCAGCGAGCAACAGAGTCACACCAAAGACCTGGTGAGTCTTAAAGTCAGTCCTTCCCCCAGCCAAGTCTCTGATGAGATCACAGCCCTGATTATCTCTGATTGTGGCTACGTGAATGACCTTGGAATTCAAGATCCAGTCAAGCTGAATCTGGACTCCCAACTCTTGTATACTGCTTTAGGTCACTAAGTTTGGGGTGATTTCTCATGAAGCATTAGCTAACTAATAATACAGGTTGTAGAGCCAAGACTGAGTGTCCATAGGCACCCCACAAAACTTGTAACAAATATCCCTTTTCCAGGGGCCTCCTTCCTGCATTGTATAAGAATCTTCTTCTTCTTCTTCTTCTTCTTCTTCTTCTTCTTCTTCTTCTTC